CACACACACACGCACACACACACAGTCCTGAGACCCTCCAGACCTTTTTCATCTCCATCCCAGGCTCGTCTCCACTCCAAACCCCTTCCCTTCACTTGGTCCTAGATGTCTTCCTGCCTCAGCTCTGGGCCCTTCTTTCCACTTTCCCGGTGATCCATTCTGTTGTCCAAGTGGTCGCCTGCGCTTCTCCCCGCGGCCCGCGTCCCCACCCACCCCCCGCGACTGAGTCCTTGGCTCTGCCCGCCAGGGTGGAGAGCCACCACTCCCAGAGCGCCCTGCGCGTGCTGCGCTACGTGGAGGCCTTCAAGTGCCCGGACAAGGAGGATGGGCAGGAGCAGTTTTCCGAGAAACAGCCCTCCGTAGCTGAGAGTGGGACCCTGGCTAGAGCCTCCCTGGCCCTGCCGACACCCTCCCTGTCCCGGACCACGTCCCGCAGCAGCAGTCACCGCGGCTGGGAGATCCTTCGTCGAAACACCCTGGGACACTTGAATCTCGGCCTGGACCTCGGTGAGGGGGACGGAGAGGAGGTCTACCGTCTGTGATTGGCATCCCCGTCACTCTTGGCCTGACTCCAGGTGGGCCCCGGGGCGGGGACAGACAGGGAGACATCTGCCTGTGCAAGTATCTGACTTTCATTCCTGTTAAGCGTGGGAGGGTGTAAACAGAATACTTGCTAAAGGGCCATGTCTTGCCCTTCGCATCAGCATTTCTGGAGATGGGCGCTAGGCATGTATTGTCCCACATATTTTCTGGGTTCTTGGAAGTCCCACGTCTTGGGAAAAGGAGGTAGTATTGGAAAGCAGTCTGCTGTGAGGCCTGCCTGGTTCCACAGGCCATAATGTGGGAAGAACCAGGCATGGCATAGAGGTTGCGGCCCTTCCTTTTTTCCTAATCTCCTGCAGGACTCTCTTCCCACCTAGCAACCAAACCCCAACTACAAAAACTGCAATAAAAAAGGTTTCTTACCCTTGCCTTTTTTAATTTTTATTTTTATTGTGGCAAAATACGTGTCACATAAAATTTGCCATTTTAACCATTTTTAGATGTACAATTCAGTGGTGTTCAGTGGATTCACATTGTTGTGCAACCATCACCATTATTCATCTGTGGAACTTTTTCATCATCCTAAACTGAAGCACGTACACTCATTAGACAATAGCTCCCTTCCTCTGCCCTCCCCGAGCCTGATAACAATATTCTACCTCCTGGTTATGAATATGGCTACTCTATATGGCTCCACCTTACATAAGTGGAATCCTGCAATTTTAGTCCCATTATGTCTGGCTTATTTCACTTACTATAATGTTCTCTAAGTTCATCCATATCGTAGCAGGTATCAGAATTTCATTCCCTTTTAAGGCCAGATGATATTTTATTGACTGTACATGCCACATTTTGTTTATCCATTTATTCGTTGATGAAAATTTGATTTTTTTTTTCATCTTTTGGCTATTGCGAATAATGCTGCTATGAACATGGGTGCACAAGTCCCTGTTTTCAATTATTTTGGATGTATACCTGGAAAAGGAATTGCTGGACCATATGTCAATTTTGTGTCTAACTTTCTGAGGACCCACCATACTGTTTTTTACCACAGGCTTCACCATTTTACATTCCCTTCTAATGAATGTGAAGTGGTATCTTATTGAAATTTGATTTGCCTTTCCCTAAAGACTAACAATATTGAAAATCTTTGCATTCAGTGATGTACTGGACGTTTATATATCTTCTGTGGAGAAATGTCTATTCAAGTTCTTCATCCATTTTTGAATTGGGTTGTTTGTTGTTGTTGTTGAGTTGCTTTATTTTTTGCTGTGTGAGACAGAGTCTGAAGTGTTTGCATCTCATTTGCATCCTGGTGTGTTTTTAAGTGTGTCTGGTAAACGATGTCTGAGTGGTCCAACCATTTCTTCTTTAGGATCCTTCCCTTCTCTGTCCCTCAGGTGGCTCCTAGCAGCTAATTGTCTTGTGCCTGGAGGCAACAGGCTCCTGCTGATGCTGCCCAGCAGCACTAGACCAAAGGTCGTCTCTCTCCAGCAGGGACATTGGGAACCAGGTGTCCAGGGCACCCAGGGCAGGACCCATGTACAGCCTCCCTTGTGTCCCTGCACTTTACTTCTCATCTCACCAAAAAGCCATGGCAACTTTTTTTTTTTATTTCAGCATATTATGGGGGTATAGATGTTTAGGTTACGTATGTTGCCCCCTCTCCGCCCCACAAGTACGAGCTTCCAGCATGTCCATCCCCTGGAATGGTGCGCATCGCACTCTTTGTGTATGCATATACCCGTCCCCTCCTCTCCCTCCCCCCTCCCCCCTGCCTGACATCCAATAAATGTTATTCTTATATGTGCACTTATGTGTCATGACAACTTTTAAGAGGATTATGGTCTGAAATAGCAAAGGACTAAGTGGGATTTGTGAAACCACAGATAGGTGCAGAGTGAGGGCCCAACATGGAGGGATCACACAAACGTGCACACACACACTCACACACGCTGGGACACACAGGCGGCATTGGAGTGTAGAAGTGCTCAGTTGCCATGGTTCCTCATTATTCTCTTTCACAGTGGAAGCTCTTCTGCTCCTATGCAAAGCTAAGCCCCCAGCCCCACCTGTGCTCCAGATCCGCTTCTCGCTCTTTCCAGACACCATGTCCATCACCATCTCCTCTGACTTTTCTCACTCGTGTATGTTCATCCTCTCCTCTCCACTAGCTCCGACAGCAAATATGCATGCTCTATGCTCTACCATTTTCAAAGAAATTGCAAAGGCCCTCCTTCAACCCCGCCTCTTCTTTCAGCTACCGCTCTGTCTTTTCTACTCCCTGCTCAGGACCAAACATCTGAAGAGTGAACTCCATTGTCTCCTGGCCTCCCACTGCTGCCTCGACCCATTGTGATTTGACCTGGTCTTCTCCATGCTGCTGACACCACTAGTCAGGGTTCTCTGCCTGCAGTTAAACCCACCGAAAGTCTTAGTTTTGCTTGAGCTCTTGGTAGCATTCAGATTACAGTCGACTATTCACCACTTCTCACCATGTCTAGTGCCACACATCCCGGCCATTCTAGTTGCTTCTCTTCTCCCAGTCCCTTAACACGTTTGGGCCCACACGCTCTCCGTTTTCCTCGCCACCTGCGCATCCGCCTGCTTCCGTGGATTGCCACACACAGACTCACAGGTCCCCACTCCTGTCTCCAGTTTAGCTCTGTCTCCG